CTAACTTTAGGACGTCTAATTGATTATTTTGTGACCAAAATTTACAATCATTTTGCTACTTGGAATCGAGACCTTTTAAATGTTTAAATCCATTTAAATGTACCATTTTATATAAATGTCTAGAAACTGCTCGATTTCTGTTGTCAATCTGCCGTCAGATTGCGCGCAGGCTCTGCGTGATTTCTGCTGCCAATCTGCTCACATTGCCTGTCAGCAGGCTCTGTCGACAAAACCTGAGCTGAATGTGGTCACAGATGGCTATGGTTTTGGCATGGAAATCTGATTAAATTTGCTGTCAATCTGCGCGCATGCTGCTAGCATTTTGCTATCTGGGAGCTTTCGCTTAGCGAATACGTCATTCTTAATAGAAGATCCATATCTTTGTAATGTGTTTAGAAACCTTCTTCCTGTAGAAACAAATAATACCCGTTCACACGTGCGATCGTCCGGAGAATGCCGCGGTATTAACAAGATGGCAGGAAATAGTTCGTAATGAGACTGATGGTATAATAAAGGATACGTTTGTTTTTATACTGTTACTTCGTGATTACACGTGTCATATCTTATCACATTGCAATGTTATATTTATATGGTAGATTATTCACGTTGCAAGATGACATGGTTAGGTTAGGTAAATATCTTGTAAGTTTACAATGAGAAAAAGAGAGTAATTTACTTATCACAAAGTTCGCATTTTCTTACCATTGCTAATGCGAGCATCAATGCGACTGTTTGCGTAAAAGTATATTGCAGTGGCTTAACATTGCGCCATGGCCTGCATGGAATGTGAGTATTATTGGTAAAATTAATTTTAACTGTATAATTGCTTTGAGATATTGTGGAAACTAAACACATTTTCCATTCATTTTTCATATTAGACTTTATAAACATTATTAAATAAAAAGAAGAACATGTTTTATAATTAAATTGTAGCTCAATGGTAAACAACATTCTTTGAAGCATTGTATTCCTGCCAATGTCGCTGACAGCAATACGTTAATGACGATGCTGTTGTCGATCCAGAAAGTTCTGTGACTTCTTCTTTTTCTACTTATTTATTGGCATACAAATCTAGATTTACCGGCCATCAACAAGTTCTATGACAACAGGTCCCCGGATTCCCAGCAGGCAAGCTACAAGTCACTAGAGGGGAGTTTTTAGTGGGTGAGAGTCCCACATAACCCCGGGGTCAGCTCCGGGGTATGCATAATGCATTTTCTCCTCTCGCCTTGTATGCAAAAAAAATGGTGTTTCCAGGCACACCAATTCTTCGATTAAACCATATCATGTCCGTGAAAGACGCGTTTACAACCTTGTCAAGTTTTCCATTAGGGTAATCACAGACTTCTATATAATATACTAGACTGCTAACAGCGATGTGACAGGGCAGCCATTTACAATTGGGCAGAATATATATATATATATATATATATATATGTACGTAATCACTCAACTATTTTCCGTAAGCTTTGACATGTTCTCTATATGCGCTTCGGGGTTGTACATATGAGAAAAAGTATGCGCTACTCGGTAGCAATTATTCTGAATTCTATCTTGTATATGTCATATATTACGCATTTTTTCGAAATTAAGTACACTTTATACCGCTTTTTTTTGCCACACATGCAAAAAAGGCACATAATTGTCTATTTTATATGCATATTGTGAATGCAAGATGAGATGCTTGTTGACATGATTTTTACGCGATGTAAGATTTTAGGCATTTTAATATCTTACGGTATATCTCGATAAAACTTTGATGTAAAAAAATATTACGTCCATCACAGTCTTACTTGTATATCGAAACGATATCAAAATTACACTGTCATATTAATTCATTTTTGTGTTATTTTTTAACACATACGTGTAATTCGGTGACGGTTTTTGAGCCAATACGTGGCTTCCATTTGCACGTCGTCGAATCATGTAACTTACAATTCCGTCGTGGTTTCTACGGGACTCTGCTCGCCTAGATACGTAAATCCAAGATGCGAGTAATCCTTTCTCTCCCTGAAGGTGACGTTGTCGTTGGACGGACTAGGGCTCAGGAGATCTGCGCCGTGATTGTACAAGGGATTAAGTACCGGCGTCGCGTCGCGATTATTCAAGGTATTTGTGTTGCTCGCACCGTGATTCTTTCGGCCCAGCGTGGATCGCCGCAGGGAATGGATATTGGTGTCGCCGTGATTACCGGCGATGCTGGACGCGCGCGCCGTAGTTGCCGCTTCGGAGCTAACGGGACTTTGTTGGCCTTAAACGAAACACATAAGCTCGCTGTATATACTTGGAATCGTAGCGTAAGCGATGTATACATACATATCGTGCGGGGATAAATCGTCGCTAAAATCCTCTTTGGATAAAATAATTTCGCTTTACGAAATATTGATACAGTTAATATACGAGAAAATAATATATTTTTAAAACTGTGTGCTTTGTCATTTTGACACTTTTTAATACATTGCAATAAATAATGCAAAAAAGGAGATAGATACCAGTTTTTTCTCGCACATAATTTCTTTTATTTAATAACTTGGCGATATAAATTTAGAGATCTTGTATGAATTTTCAGATATTTTTTTTCGAATTACCAGTACTGTCTCCATGATCTTTGGTGATGTAACTGACATTGTCCAGGCTGAACGCGTGATTTTTGTTGCTGAAGTCCAACTGTAAATCATTGCAACTGTCGTTGTCGTCGACCGGCACGCTCATCTGGAGTACCTGCGTCTCGTACTCCTTCAAATTCGGTTCCACATAGACGGGATCATAACGCGGCATTACGTACATGCGTTGCATACGTTCCTTGTACGCTTTGTACCTACGTCACAAGATATTTTCATGAGAAACTCTCTCAAAGGAATTTCATAAACAACCCGGAAAGATTATTCTTACAGCGATCGCAACGTTGAAATAGCAAGTGCTAGGGAAGATAGTCGGAGTGGAAATTGCAATTAAAGCTAATAGAGATAATAAAGAGCTGTATGAATTTGCATCACTCACACTCGACTAGTTGAATGAATATTTATACTCGCGAAGCGACTCTCTCATGCGACTCGTATAATAACAGTTGAGGATCGTAATAATAGCTTAGAATGATATGTATGCATAATAATTAATACAACTGTGCATGGATGCAACAATTTTCATGTTTATCGTATGAAAACATGTAACAAGCATGCAACAGGAATCTACAATATACGTGTATATATATATA